TTATCAAACATCTTGCAGGCCAACCTAACAGTAACTCCCCATTTTAATGCATGCAACAGAGCACTAGAGCTAGATCGAAAGGCCAAGTATTTCGGTAGATCCATTTTCCTTCCATTCTCTTTAAATAGAATTTTCCAAGTTTTTTTCCTTGCCATCCCTACATTAACGTTACCCACGGCACCAGCTCTGAAGCTGAGCTCAGTAAGAAGCACACAGAATCTTGTAAACTATGGTAGACATAGCGGGAGAAATGAAATTATTAATTGATCGGTGCGGATCTTGCTCTGTGCTGAAAGTGCTTTTTAGCAGGTGTGCACTTCAAAACACAAATGATCGTAGAAAAAAATACAGATCAGAGCAGCGGCTGCCTACCTGCCAGCCCCTCGCGACAGAAATCTGCAATGAAAATGTGCATATTCATCACCAAAGCTGAGCTGAGGAGACCTGTTCCATTGCAGCCATCGGTTGCTTCATAAAAACTGATGGAAGTTTTTGAAGTCGTTGGCTCTGGAGCTGGGAATATGGGCAGGGTGTGTGTGTCAGGCTTGGAACAGCTGGCTTGGAAGCTCACACAAAATCAGCTACAACGGTGCAACCCGGCCAGGACACCACCCAGCCAGCAGCCGTATGCTTTTCCTTTGTGGTTGCAGAGCTGTTCCAAAAGCTAAACTTCCATTCCAAAAGGGGGGGGGAATTAAATAAAAAACAACCCAAACCCAAGTCTTCAGCCCATCCAAGTCTAGACCGGCTTTTTCTGCAGCTGGAAATGACACAGTTTGCGCTCGGCGATAGCGTGGCCAGAAACACGCTGTGCCCCGCTCTTGGCTAACCTGATCCCTGAAAAGGTGTCGCTTTTTAAGCCCGTACGAGGGCAAAACAAATCATCCAAAGGGTGGATCTGATCGGATGTGGAGATGTGTGCTGATGTGCAGCCAGGCTTGAAAAAAAACCCACAACGGCCTCGTTGAGCGCAGGAGGCATGAAGGCCAGCGTTAGGATGGTCTCAACGCAGCCAGTAACCGTAGCGCTGCTGCTGAAACCTGAGGGAGACCGTCACGCTGGGTGCCAGCCTCGTTCGCAAGCTCTCTGAATGCGAATGCTCTCTTTAGGCCTCTTCCTAAGGAGGGGAATAAAAAGACACAAACCCCAAGAAAAACCACCCCAACATAACACCCTGAGCTGATTATCAGCAGAGTCTGAGAAGGAAACCAGACTGGGCATCGAGCAACGGCAGAACAGCCTAATGCCTCGGGGTTTGAGTCAAAGCAGGGCACAACCGCACGAGACACAGCAGGTTAGATTTGTCAGTACTGACATTCTGCACCTGCATTCGGTCTCTGCCGGGAGAGCGGCTCCTCGCAGAGACCGGTGCAATTATCATTTTCGTTCACATTGATCTTTGGTTACACACGGGTAACGCTGGAACGCCCAGGAACAGCCCTGCTGACCTGTTTGCCCTCGCTTCCCCAAGTCCATCTTCTGCTGCTCTTTATTAAAAATTTCCAGCGTAAGGAACATATTTTTTTAAACTAAGTATGCAAACATCACTCTTCAAAGCTTTCCCTCATTTCACAATGTTTTTGAAAGCATAAATAAGGCCAAATAAATTTTATGAGAGTGACAACATGGGGTTTTGTTCAGTTTTAATTCCAGTGCTCCTATCTCCTGATGAATAGTTAAGAGAACTATGCATAAACCAGACCTCATCTGCAATTTAAAGAAAATGAAAAACTGTGTTCCTCCAGCATATAAATCATCTGAAAGGCAATGAAAAATACTTAACTGAATTTCTCAAGCAATTAACATTTTCAGGATTTTTTTTTGTGCCTCTGAACGCTTGCTTGACTTGGAGTTTTTCAACACCCAAAATGGATTATTTTTCAGTGGTTAAGTAACATCATACAGCAGTTTAATAGCATTGCATTAACTCTAAGTTTATTAGCTAGCTTCTTCCAGATAAAGATATTTCCAGAACGTCTGCATCAGTGGAGTAAGAGGCTTCTTGCATAACTGCTCTAAGTGGGGGGATAAACATCTCCTGAAGGCTTTTTAATATGATCTTTCATAATTCAAGTTCTTGGGAATTCATACCAAAGTAGGAGCAACGGATTCATTAAATAGTTCACTTTCACCTAATCCCTTCTGCGTGCTTCCCTCTTAAGCTCTAAAGCAACAAGCAACCACCTTTCCATACTTGTTTGTGGTCAAGGGAGAGCTTTGTATTTGAAGTCAGAGGAAAAACCCTTCCCTCCGCCCGTGCACGTTGCGAGCCAAAAGAGAAGTTTTACAAACCAAAGTTCTTCCTCCCACCCTGTTCAAGAGCTTAGAAGATTCTGATAAGAGAAAAACACAGGGACTTGAGGATTAAAATAATAATTAAAAAAAAAAGGTAAGGGAGAGAGAAGGTTGAAGTTTCCAGAAGCATGTAAATCACTTCATTCTCACTGGCTATGTCTTAATAAATCTTGGAATTGGGCAAAGTCCATATCCCCAGTCCCAGCCAGAAGCAAGTCTTGAGACACAGAAAGATTAGCATATGCTTAGTTCAGGCCTGCTTATTTATGTCTTAAAATATTTTCACGGAATTAAATCAACCCATCCTTACCATTGTATCCACACAAGGAACTCTGCTTCTTTAAGACAACCACCTCCCCCAGTTGTTTTTCTGAAGACAACACCTCAGTCTGTTGCCTGTTTCCCCAACACAAGGGGAAAATGTTCCCCAGAGGCATGAACAAGATTAACAACTTGGTCCTCTTTACTCATGAAGAATCTTCTGATCTTGAAAACATCCTTCCCCACCTCTGGTTTTGTGGGTTGGTTTTTTTTGCTAAGGTTTAAAACCTGGAGTTACACAGACTGGTCTATGTTACAACAATGGAAATTTAAGTTTACACACCAAAACGCACAGAAGCCAGGAAATGAAAACCAGTTTCCATCGGAACATTAATAGCCTTCTCACTTCATCTTCTACACGCACTTGAACACACACTTCATGGGTCTGAAGCAAAAGGTTCTTCGCCTTTCACTAGCTGGCAACTTTAAAACTCACACGCTACTGCTACACTCACAGTCAAGAGAAAACCACAGATCACCTGAGACGCAGAGCAGTACCTGGGTACGTGTAAACCGAGTGCTCCAGGTTGGCACTTGTACCTATTGGTGAACACAAACATTCCAAGCATTAAGTGTTTAGAAACAACTCTTCAAGAGGCCCTGAGCTCTGCCAACGACACACCGGTACGTACTTTAGCGCCTACATACAAGCTCAGTGACAGCCATCGGGCCCGGGGACACTTGTCGTACGCCGGCAGGAACTACCACGCTCTTTATCACGACCAGCCTGGATTTTACTCCTCTGTTGCATTTTGTGCCACAGAGCACATCGAAAGGATGGGATGTTTGGAAAGCTCATCTACAATAACCAGCAATAACTTTATTCTCTATCCACAGTGCTCAAGAAGGACAAAGATCACAGACGCTTCAGTTCCTTACTCCTTCCAGCCCCTCACCTCCCAAGTTTTACACATTTGCTAGCCAGGGGCCCTTCTCAGTACAACCCCCCCTCAGTTTTTCTGCTGCACAAGCTGGCAGCAGGGCGAGAACCCACCTTGGCACCCAGCCGGGCAGCCAGGCTCTCGGTTCCCCGCCCCAGACACGCTCAGAGCAGGAGGCAGCACGACGTAAGCGCGTAACGTCCCCGAGGGGTAACCCTGACCCCGCACGGTCCTGCTGCCACTCAACACACAGATCTGTTTGTGGCTTCTCTTTCTGCTTTGAGCATCTCACAGTGTTGGAGCTGACCGTGTGCCCGTGGATCCCCTCCTCCTCGAACCCCCTTTGTCACCAGTAACTTGTGAAGAAACCCGCTCTGCTCCAGCAAAGGCCTTTCTTGTCTCGATTTACTTCCGAATACAGCTGGAGTGCTTAACAACCACAATGCAGTCTATCCAATTTCAGAATCACTTCCTGGGGGCAGTCAAGAGAAGGGGGAGTTTCACTTTTTCAACTTGGGAAACCTTGATTTGGTCTTAACCTGAAGGTGATTCTTCTAAAAATATGATTTGGAACACACAACACCCAAATAAAACAAAACTGTTAGAAGACAAAAAGAACAGCTGAAAAAACCTCTTTTGTTTATGGAGGTAGTCAAATGGAAGCCATTTCATTTGATCTCTTATCTTGCTTTATACACATTTATTGCACCAGAACATCCGCCTTCTATATAAAAAGATGCTGTAGAAAACCACAAGATTGTAAATACTCTAGATTTACGAGTTGTTTGCAATTATATTTAATATTATTTTGTTTTTACAAAGCAGTTGAAATTAAAAGAAAAAAAAAAAGAATAGCAAGAAACCCCCCATCTGCTGTCTAGCATCAGTAATCCTCACTGGTTTGTTTACCATTTATAAGGAAAACGTCATGCAAGGTAGCTTGTCACAGGGACTCTTCGGCAGTAACGGGCCTTCGGTGCAAATCTGTGGTGTGTGTCAGTTCATCTCTTTTTTCTGAAAGCCCCTCCACCTAAAATTCAAGGGATCTGCCGATGATGATATTCTTCCCTTCTGAAGTACCTTCCAGCCAAACACAGGAAATCTGGGAACACATGGCCAAGGATGGCAAATATCCTCATTTTACAGAGGTAAACCCAGAGTAGAGAATTAACTTTGCCCGAGGCCAATCTTTTGACTAGCCAGCCACAGAACCCAGCGATCTCACAATCCCAGGTGATTCACCTTGGCTGGAGACTACAGAAGAGTGAAAATTAACTGATTACGCTGAAATCGTTTCTTCATCTCCTCCAAGAGGATCGTGTGTTTTTCAGGTGTAGCATCAGCTTCCGCGTCACTATTTGTAAATGGTGTGACTCTGTTTCCCAGTGAACACCCGCACTAAGCCCAGTCCCCCAGGAGTCCCTGTGACAGGCCAGCCGTAGGCAGGCAGACAGCGGGCACGACCAAGCCTGCTAGTGACGTGCGGCACTAGGGAGGTTAGCCTCATCCGCCTGCCGACGGGCCTCTCCGGCCTGGTCTCCAGGAACAAGTTCCTCCTCCTTCTCCAGACAGGGGGTTGTAGCCTAAAAGTACAGAGGAGAAATCCACCATATTAATATTCATCCTCTACAGGCCTTCACCGACACACAAGGAACACTGAAAAGAAATCCCACAACGATTTGCACCTTGTTCATACTTCCCGCATAGGCAGCATGTTAAGGAAAAGGAAAGCAGAGAAAATATCCAGGCTTGAGATGCTTTATTTTTGTAGCACTAGCAGTAAAAGCTGTTGCAAAACACTCGTGTTTTGATTTGATTAATTTGGATTAAATTAAATTGAAATTAATTACCATTTAATTTCTCTAAGTCTGCACTAAAGCTTTAACGCTGCTCTGCAGAGTAAAGGAAGCAGTAATAACTCTTAAACAGTGAACTCTGTGAAACTGTATCTGTTCTCCAAGAGCCCTAATAGGGACTTGATCTTTTACTCCTTAAAATGATCTTTTACTCCTTAAAATGATCTTTTATTCCAGTCCTGCAAGCAATACTCTGAAGGCCAAAAGGTAAATCCACTCATTGCTACTGTAAGGTTTTTTAAAAGACTATGAAAAGGCACGTGTCCAGCAAGGCAAACAGATACTTGAGCTGCACGTCCTAATGCCGTAACTACAGGTAACTTCACCTTACGAGTACGCATTCAGAAAGAGACAATTTGGCAAACGTCCTCAATTTGCCCTGTACAAGGGACAGAAAAAGACAACTGAAAACCAGTAGTGCTGCTAACCAAGCAGGTTTCAAAGCAACCTGTTCCACTGAAACTTCAAGCGCCACCTCCATCTTTGAAGTTTGTTTTTCTCAGAGTAGCCAAGTTCTCTTTTCTAGCTTAATTCAGCAGCTGAACAGCGCAGGTGGTTCTTTCACTTCTGCTGATCTACCTCACGAGGAGATCAGAGACCCCTAATGCTACGATCTGTAACTTAAGCAAAGATTCTGCTTCGGATGAATCCAGGAGAGGTGCAGCTGGGAGGGTGCCTCAGCCCAGCTGCCCCGACCTTGGTTCTCAGCCCAGCCATTATCCGGGCGCCGCTCCCCCCCGGAGCGGTGAACACCCCCTGCAAGAGCTCTGAAGGTATCTGACAGGGTCAGACACCAGACTGCACTCGTATGAACAACGTCAGGCGAAGCACTCCCTCGGCTCCTCCGGATGTTGTCAACAGCTGCCAGTAAAGATTCTCAAAGCAGAAATTTCAGCACTGAACCTAATGAGCTTCAACATGTTTAATCGAGGATCTTCATGTTTCAGACATTTAATGCAGCGACGGACTTAGCGCTGCACCCTGCGTGGGTTTCACTTTTAGCCCGACACAACTGAGGCTGTCTAGATGATCCCCTCCACTGTGGAAAACGGTAATTAAAACATTACACGTAAATGAGCGCTGGCAGGCGTGGCACAGGCTGTCTGACCAGCGAGGAGCCCAGCTGCACGGCCGACGCACGGCTGCGACCCTAACGCGGGCTGCGTAAGGCCGCAGAGAGCAGCTCATCCACCCGGAGGATGGCAGCGGTGGGCAGTGGGTTTAGTGACAAGACCCTCTGGCCGTTTGCGAGGGTTGGGACCAGTTTAGACACCTGCAGGATCTATACATTCAGCAGGTCATTACTGTCGTATCTGATAAATAAGGTCACATTTTGCACAATGAAGTCTTTCATCTGCCTGAACCTATGTAATACAAAGTAAAATCCTCTTCCTGCATTTAGTACTACAGGGGGTTGAAACACAGACCAGATAGCAAATTATTGGACTTTTACAGTAATGGGGGAGGGATCCCGGAAATACTGTAAGAATCTATAATTTTGAGTGACAAAAATCTCAGTAAATTATGGCAAAAGCATTTACAAGAAAAGGGAAACACTGCTTCTCTGGGGAAAAGCACCACAGAAACGTCCTGCTAGGTCTTGCACCAAGTGCCAATCAGGCCACACAGGTCAGAGGTAAAGAGCTCGTTTGGGAGGCACATTTTGTTCCCCCCTCAAAGAAGAGAAAAAATAGGTACGATGACTACGTACGCAGCTGGAGGAATGCTCTGTTTCAAGCTCAAATACCTTAAGGATTTCATACTTACCACCTCCTCGCAAGGGCTTTTTGTTTGGTTTAGATTTCGGGACTGCTGATGAGGTGGAGGCACCAGATTCTACTTCTTGCTGTTCACAAAAGCAGAAGTTACTCAGAATTTAATCAACGTGAATTGCAGCTACTCTAATCACATGAACATAACTGTGACCTGATTAACACAGTTGTTACCTGATTCAGCTTCAGGTTTCCTTTATAGCTCTTGCCTTCTTGCATACTTTCCCACATCGCTATCTTCTGCCTTCGCTTCTCTTCTTCAAGCTACGGAACAAATCCAGGATATGCAAGACAGATCTCAGAACTGACAGAATGGCCAACGCTACAGAAACATCTACAACAGGCTCATCAAAACCCAAGGGATCCACCTTTAGCTGATGCAGCATCTCCGAGCTTATGGAAGCATTTCCTTGTTTAAACACCACGTCTTCCCAACCACAGACCAACCACCCCTCCCCAACACATACAGACCATGCCTGCAGCTTCTTGTGACCACTTGATGCTTTAAAACATTTTGAAAGTAAAGCAGAACCAAATGGCAAGCTTAAATCCTGCGTTTATAGAAAGTACTGAATAAAGAATACTGCACATGATAGTAATTTAATGCACAACGTAGGGTTCTACAGAAGAAAGTGTTTTTCAGAGGAACAACACAGCCAGCTACAGATTTACATCCCAATACACATTACCAACAGTTCTCCCAGCTCTCTTCTAAAGCAATTTATCCACAAAACCAAACAAATTAATGGTTAAGATAGACTGTCGCCTTCTCAACAAATGAAAGGAAACGAGGCAGCTACTCCATCCCGTCGAGGAGAGCAAAGTCCCCCTGACACCAAGCACACTAGACCTAGACTTTCTACACAGCAGCTATTTTCTTCCACAATACGACTCTTCATTCATTTTTAATTGCCAATATTTATTGAAGCATCGGCTGTAAACTGAGGTCTGAAAGTATCTGACTGCAGAAGTAAAAACAGAAGAAGAGCTGGGATTAACGAGCAATATTACTGCTATGCTGATCCCATCCACTTTTCTACGCTGTCCCACACAGCAATATACTATTCCTCATTATCTCAAGCTGTAGTTCAAACCCTTAAATTACAGCGATGCTCAGCTACATTTCTAAGAACTTATATTCATACTGCAATACACGTGTGCAGTAGTACAGTTCATCTAAATACCAGTAAATCCCCTCCAGCCACTCGTCGCACATACAACTAAGTTTCTGTAGGTAGAGACTGACCTGTAAAAAACCAAAAGATCAGGCCCACAGTGTCCCACGCACACAATTACTTGTGGAGAAGCGAGTGCCATGGAGATTAATTACTTCAGGAAGGAGTTCTAATCAATTCATTCCAATCAATGAAGAGCACCAGGCCATCAGGTCAGCACAGCATGTAAGTATGTGCTTGCATCGCTGGAGCTCCACCGTGCTACCTACAGCCTGCTGCTGCTCCGTGGGTCAAACCTCATCCTGATCCCTACTGCCCGTTACTGCTCCGTGGGTCAAACCTCATCAAAATCGATCCAGGTAAAGGAGGGGTGGGAAAACCCACCACCCCACTCCAGCAGAGCGCGGTCTCCTGTTCTTCTGGTGCCTAGCGTGGAGTAAACCTTTCTATAACGGCAGCAACGTACTTGATGACAAGTTAATGAGTTAAAGAAACGCCCTCTGGTTACCTGTCTTTGCTTTTCTTTGTATCTTTCCGCTTGTGCGTTCAACTCCTCTTGCATCCTGAGGCGAGCTGCTGCCAAAGCTTCCTGCCTTCTCACCACCACGTCAGGTTCTAGGAGATGGGGAATGAGTTTGCAAAGCTGTTCAGGACAAGTTCTAGATGGTCTCCTCAAAGAACAGCAATAAGGAAAGGTTCGCATCTCTCCCTGCAGCCGTTTTGCAGAAAATCACCGCTCAAGTTCAGTTTCCAGCTAATCTTTTATAGTAATTCATACGCCGATTTAAATTTCATAGCAATTTAATATTTTTTAGAGCAATTACTTTAATGGGATTTTAATGAATAAGGACACCGATGTAACAAACCCATTAAAAAATGAAAATTCAGACTTCTAAGCTACTTGCTTCTATTTCTGAAGGATTTGTTTGACACAAATAATTTCAGAAACATCACCCATGTTTCACAGGGATTCCATTTTTACCCAAAGAACTTCTTTTACGCAGAAGCATGAGGCAACCAGCCCACATTCGCTCCTACTCCTTCTGGCAACTGGGCCCACTTGTTTCACTACGGCAGAGAAGCAGTGGCAGATTCAACATGCTCTGTCAGCAGGGAAATTACTTACAAATAACCCAAGAGAAAACTGTCAGTCTCAGAAAATCTACATCGAGTCACCACTTCTCTTGATGACTGGTCTTTAGGAGAAGTCAGAAGATACCCAAACAAAGGCAAATATTGCTCCTTTCATCCAGCAGCTGAAGCACCTCCGCATTTGTTTGCCTCCTTGTACATTTGCTATTCGCTCAGCGATAAATATGTAAAAGAAATTTCAGTACTCCCAGTAATTTCATTTTATAAGCAGTTTTGGCAATTAAAGGAAGCCTTAATTAGCATTACAAAAGAACACCCGTAGGATAAGGGCACGCAAGTAACATTTTCTGGGGCCCCACGTCCTGCCGTGCCAAGATGCCAAAGGAATCGGTGCCAAGCACGTATCGTTTTGGCGGATGCATAAGCACAGCCTGTGCTTTACGGCAGCGAGCCTCCAAGCGAGGCAGGACCGTGACTGTGTAAGATTTACAACCTATGCCACACTTGAGAAGGTAACACAGACGGGAGGCAGTTACGCCCCAAACGTACACAATCCTGCCAGAATAGGAACTGTAAAGGAATAATTGAAAGTAGATATTATGAATATTCATTAAAATATTAATATTAATATGTTCCCCCCAGTATTTAGATTTGGACGGTTTGGGTTGGTAAGTCTAAAAGTTATTTGATAACTGACCACAACTGATTTTAACCATCTTCTCTCAGACCCTGCGCTATCAAAGACCAGCTGTCCCCTTGTTCTACAAAGCCCCGCTCCTCCACTCCCAACCGCGCTACTTTTGGACACAATCCTTCCTCGACAGCCTTTCAGAAACACTCCTCGTGGTCCAGCCTTTCCCCAGTAACGCGACCTCCACGCTTCTGTGGGCCTGAACAGCGCGACCCTGAGTAGCGTTCACCGGTAAAGCCCCTCGGAACCGAATCTCCTTTGGGTTGTTACTAAACGAAGACTCTGTGGATCCGAGCAGCTGCCCGACATCCCCACCCGACTGCGGAGCGGGGCAGGACCCGAGAAGAAGAGCTCCAGGGAGCTCTGGAGAGGAGGAAGGTTTACTCACCCACCGCTGCGTCGGCTGCTCCCGTCGGGCCGCTCGGCCTGGCCGCCAGGCTCTGG